CGACAAAATGATATTGTCAATGTCTTGTTGAGGTACATTTGCCCATTCAGCGATTAAAAGCTCTCTCAATTGAAACGTTGTGTGAATGTTCCCCATATGTGGAGTAATTCTTCGTTGAAGCATGTCCCACACATGCTCGATGGGATTCAGGTCCGGTGATCGTGCTGGCCATGGCAATACATCAACTCCTTCGTTGGTGAGCCAGTCAGTCACTAGACGCGCGACATGTGGACGAGCATTATCGTGCATTAGGTGGAAGTTTTCACCAACAGCACCAGCAAACGGACGGACGATAGGTAGAAGAATGGTGTCGAGGTACTGTCGAGCTGTGAGGGAGCGATTTGGAAAAACGAGATCGGTTCTGCCGCTGATCATGATTCCGCCCCATAGCATTACTGTACCACCCCTGTATGTGTGGACTTCCTGGACGTGTCTCAAACGTTCATTATTTCCAGGTCGTCTCCACAGTCTTACTCGACGAGAATCTGGATGAAATCCAAATCTGGATTCGTCTGTACACAAAACTGTGGCTCAATCATTTGCATCCCAGTTTTGATGTTCTTGACACCACTCTAATCTTCTACCGCGATTGCCTCTCGACAAAGGTGGACATCTAAGTGGCCTTCTGTTGTGGAGATCTGCTTCATGCAGTCGATTTCTGACAGTATTACGACCAATAGTTACCTGGTGCGTCTGCTGCAACACGTTAACCAACTCAGGTGCTGTGATTGTCGGTTGTCTTCTTGCGGTTAAGACCAAAAATCGGTCTTGAACTGCAGTTGTAGCGCGTCCTCGCCCTGGATGTTGTTCGGCTGGACTGCCAGTTTCACGGAGGCTCCGCCACAATCGACTGACAACACTTTGGGAGACCCCCAAACGAAGAGCTACATCATTTTGTCGCATGCCACCTTGAAGAAGCCCTACAGCTCTATTCATCTCGGCCAATGGTAAGTGATGGCGTTCCATGTTAAAGCACAATATTTCCAGTTTAATTGCTGAGCAAGAACTGCATAGAATGTACAAACTCGACACTTTCAGATTATTCATTTTAGCCGAAAACTTGATAAAAGATTAGTTACCGTTCAACCCATAGAAATCTACAGAGTGGTCGAGTGTACCAATTTAATCGAAATTAAACGACCTCATGCATTCATTTTTATGATATTTAGTATGTTATAAAAATATCCCTAGACTTTTCCGATGTGTGTATATTATAAGGACCATGGTTGCTTGGACAACAATCTGGGTTCACCAGATTTCCTTGTTCTTTGGGTCTGTGGGATAATAAGGATCGAGCAAATCACGAGACCAAAAAGATTTGGTCTCCAAAGTAGCTTAACTTTGGCTTAATGAACGTCCTGCATAAAACTTCGGAGCCTCCTCATAAAGTTTTTCTACCTCCACTTCACATAAAGCTGAGATGGATGAAGCAATATTTGTAGAGTCACTTCTGGAATATGAAAATTGCTTCAAATACTCAATATCAAAGTTTTCATGCCTCTCAGAGGCAAAGTTGAAAGGAAGTATTTTCGTTGGACCAGATATTAGTCGGCCCATGGATGACCCACAATGCATCACAATCATGACAAATCCTCAAAAAGAAGGGTGGATTTTCTTTGAAGAGCTCATAGACAAATTTTTAGGCTATACAAAAGACCCTAACTACGAACAAATCGTCGAAAAAATGTCAAGATTTAGGTTATCTGATGAGTTTGAAAGTACATCTTCTTCATCCCTTTGTCGACTACTTTCCACAAAATTCAGTGGAGTGAGTGAAGAGCAAGGTGAACGATTCCAGTGAAATATTAAGGAGATGGAAAAGAGATACCAGGGAAGACAGAGCGTCTCAATGACGGTAGACTACTGTTGGACGCTTTAGAGATACTGCTGGTTCTTAGTCAGCATCATCATTCACCAAAAGTCTGTATCTAGGATGATCATTATCAACAAGAGGTTTCACTGAATCATCTTCCAAATCTGCAGGCTCGCAATTCATTGATTTACATTCCAATTCAGTTATGAATATGTCGAAGGGACCTCCCAACTCAAAGTTGTAAATAATTCCAATGAGAATTTGCTCTAGTTGTATAGTTGTTTTTCCCCTGATCAATTCAGTCTATGAGTTTCGATCCGGTCTTTCCAGATTGAAGAGTTGAATCCTCAGACGTATTTTGTCCTCTTTGGATTGATCCAGTTGAAATCTGCTTGCCTATACAGCCTACTAATTGAATCACCAGAACTCAACCTCCAACTACAAGTCAATACTTTTCCATCCCCAATGGAGTAACATCATATTAATTAGGTGTAAACTGCGAACTACACTTCCTCACAGTTAATCAAGTTACAATTCACAGACTGATTGTAGTAGAAGTTCTCAAGTTTTCCATCTTTGTTGGTGATAATTAATTTAGTAGAAGGGAGCCGAACGCTGGTAATTATGACCTTTCATGTCCTGGGTTGGCACACGGGGTATACGCCCAAGCTGATCCTCCACAATTTGAAATGAAATTGAGATGAGAAGTGACGTTTTGAAAGCGTGGGTGTTTGTCACAGCTGTTGGCAAAGTCATAACATTTATTAATAGCTATAGTTACTCTCATATTCAGAATGAGGGATGATATATTTTTGCTCGAGACCAGAAAAAGTAAATTTTTCTCATAATATATCCAGTATTTTCATATAGTTACTCAACATGTAAAAAACAATGAATTGAAGTACTAATTGTCTCAAGAGTCTGATTCAATTTGAAGTGCCTTCTGTTGAGTTTTATTGAATCCTTATTTTATTCCTTGTTCATTTCTTGAGTTGTCTTTGAGAACCGTTGTGGTTTCTGCATATTCCCTTACACCTGCGACTTGACAAAATCTCACAAGAAAAAGTCTTAGTTAGTTTTGTCTCAAGTTATTTGGCACGTTGTATAAAACCTGTAATGCAATTAACTTTTTGGCAATGATTTTCTGTAGACAATGTTGTGATTACAATTGTATTGCATAAGCTCTCTCAAAAAACCTATAGCAGACAGATTTTCCAGACAACTGCAAAATTTTTCCGCATTGCACAATTGCACGGGATGTTATATAACCAAATATTTCGTTGTTTCTTTTTTGAAGGCACTTGATTTTTCAAACAAATTCAAAATCATAGCTAATTCACCTTGTTCTGAAACCTTATTCTACAGGGAAATCTTTTTGGGAGGGAATATCTCCTCTTATTCGAATTTTTTACAAAATTAGGAAATGTATCCCTTTGAAATTTTCAAAAAATATATATTTCAGTCCTATTTATTCACGTTTGCACTATCTTATTTCTGTTTGGGGAACAGCTAGTAAATGCATAATCAAACCTCTGAAAACCCTACAAAACAAAATAATAAGAAGCATTGATAAATTAGCATATCCGGAACCAACATTGAACTTATATAAACCAAACTTTTTATTGGTCTTGAATTCACTCTATAAACTTAAAATTAGCTGCTTCATTCATTCTTTTGAGAATAAAACAGAAACTTAAATTTCATTCCAAATGGACATATTCACAATCATGCCACAAGACAAATAAATTACTTGTGATGAACTGTTTTGACCCTTTGGTGTAGAATAGAGTTCATTCACAAACCGTTATTTCAACACCTCGACACGTGTTTCGATCACCAAGTGATCTTCTTCAAGAGGAAAATCAAACTGTTCGATCGTTCTCGATATATCTCGAAAAGGTCTTTGCTTATACACCTTTTGTTTTAAGTAACCCCACAAGAAGAAATCTAGTGGGGTTATATCAGGAGATCTAGGCGGCCAGAAGTGTCCCATATTGCGACTGTTTACTTTGCCCCTAAATATTTCCAAAAGACGCTCTTTACCCACCCTTGTAGTATGAATAGGTGCACCATCACACTGATACCACACAACATTTCTCACTTGAAGGGGCATATTATCCAAAACTTCAGATAGTTCGGTATTCACAAAGTGTAGGTAGTCCGCAGAATTTAAATTATGTCTAAAAAAGTATGGTCCTATAATTTGATCGTTTAATATGCCACACCATACATTCGTCTTAAACGAATATTGATCTCGATATTCGATTACGAAATGTGGGTTTTCTTTTGCCCACCACCTGCAGTTTTGCGAGCTCACAACGCCATTTGAAGAGAAGTTGGCTTCCTCTGTCCATAAAATTTGATAAGGAAAATGATAATTCTCTTCTTTTTTCCCTTGAAACCAAAAAGAAAAATACAAGTGCATATCGAAGTCCCTTTCTTTAAATGTATTGATAAATTTCGGTTTATAAGGCGTACATTTATTTTTGTCGTAATACGTCGTACACTCTCTCGGTTAACATCTGTTCTATCTGCAATATCTTGAATACTAAAAATCACTTGATCGGTCATATGCATGTCATTTGGCATCATTTTTAAAGCACAACCTAATGGAGATATCAAAAGTTGCTTGGAGAGATGAACAAAAAAAAATCCCATTTGATGTGTGACACTGTATATAATTCAATTCCAGAAAATATCAAGAAGTATTATTCCATTACCAAATTTGAGTATCAATTGATAAAAATCTAATCAAAGGAATTTCATAGTTTGCATTCCATTTCTATTACAGTTGAATACGTTTTCAACATATACTTTCTATAACTAGTTTCATTATTTGACTACATTTCATTGTTTTTCTTTTCAGATATAATACGTGTTCATTGTTAATTATAATATTTCTGTTATTTTATTTATACTTTGTAGTTAGTTAGAGTCCCTAATTATACGCAATCATTGTTTCTTGGGACAATAAACTGAATTGAATTATATGCCTTTGCCTCATTCCTCATTTGCAATCATTACTTGAAACATATTAGTTATCGGATACACCTAACCATTCAGTGTTGGGGATTTTGGCGATCTATTTTTTCAAGTAATCATTTGTAGTATAATTGTAACTTCTCAAGGTCTAATTTTCACGTCAACTTCGATGATAATTTGTACAATGTACTATTTTTTTTTTCAGTTCTACTACACAATGAATGCAGCCCATTCTTCTTTTCTACTCCATGAAGAACTGACCTTCTTTCGAAACAGCAGTGAGGCAGAAGATTCTCTCATTGACCATGACACAACCTCGGAAAGTGAGTATTTCAACAGTCCCTTCAAGCTAAAAAAAACCTAGAATCTCACCCACCAAATAGCCGTGATAATGTGTTAAACACTAAACCTATTGAAGTGCTTGACAAATAAACAGTGGGGCGCAGATGGTAGGACATTATTGACTCTGTATAGAACTTCAATAAGGTCAAAATTAGACTACTGCTGCATATGCTACTGGCCTGCTTCCGCGAGCACCCGCAAAGCTCTGGATACAATACATAACAACGCACTCAGAATCATCTCTGGAGCATTTATTACAAGCTCGGTTGACAGCCTACTCTGTGAACTTGGAGAGTTACCTTTAAAGCTTAGAAGACATGAACTGACACTAGACCATCATACTCGACAACCCTTCATCGTCCCAGTCACTCCCACTGCAAAAGCAAATATTCCATTTCATGAACAACCCTCAACCTCAACCTCATACAGATGCAAGAATTTCCACAAATCCAATCCAAACTTTCAAAAAGAACTCCTCCATGGCCTATTCCCTTACCGAATATAAATACTCAGCTACTATCCATGAGCAAAGCAACCACAAATCCCCAGCTTATCCAAGCTGATTACCAAACTGTAATATTTGAATACCCACTTGACCAGAAAATCTCCACTGATGCCTCAAAAACAACTCGTGGTGTAGGATGTGCATTCGTAACGAACGAGACCGCCTGTAAATTTTCTTTACATGAATCTGCCACTATTCTCACTGGAGAACTTTATGCCATCTATAAAGCCCTTTCCTTCATTGAAATGACACCTGGTAAAGAGTTTTTGATGATTACGGACTCTCTCAACTCCCTTATTTTTTTGTCGAAAGTATATACCCATCAGGTACTGGTAAATATGATTAAAGAGGAGATGAAACAACTAGATAAGAGGACAGTAACCCTCCTATGGGTTCCTTCACATACTGGGATTTCTGGAAACGATATAGCCGATAAACTTGCCAGAGAAGCTGTAGAACATCCAGCATGTAATATCAGTATGAAAGCATTGCCGATAGATCTCAAATCCTATTTACATTGCAAAATTGTAGAAATGTGGAATCACCAATAGTCTCAAAAACCTTCCAAACTTAAGGAAATCAAGGCTACATTATATCCTTGGAACAACAAAGCAACAAACCGCTTCCATCAAGTCATAATTACCAGATTGAGACTGGGCCACACTCGCCTTACGCATGAACATCTATTGAGGAAAGAACCGCCACCAAAATGTTTCGCGTGTGAAGTGCTAGTGACTGTTAAGCATGTTCTGGTAGAGTGCACGCTCTTCACAGTTTAGAGACTGAACAATAAAATTCCCTCCAAACTAAGTGAAATTTTCCAAAATACCAATACCAACAATATTGTTGAATTTCTCAAGAAATTCAACAATTCAAATTTTATTTAAACTGTAATGTAAACAACTGCATGTTTCAGATATATTTTATATGTTTGCCGCTAATAGCTACGGCTGATGCGAATTTTTCTAAATAAAAAAAAGTCTCCGTGGTATAATTATCATGACGTATTCTTCTAGATGCGATTATTTTTGTTTCGAACTTCAGTAGGGTGAACCTGAGAACACCTCTTAGACCCTTGGAAATGTTCTTTCCTCATTTGCTATCTCTGTCGTATTTCACATTGATCTTTATCCACACTCGCGAAACCTCAAATGACCGGCAGAAGTTTGCAGAATATCTTCCAACTCCATGCTTTTGGAACCTCCTTTTTTCCTCTCTCTATTCCACCAAAATGGGGATAGGGAATCATAGTATGTCAGGAGTAATCATGCCTCAGCCACCGCTTCCACCAGATTTGCCCCCCTGGGACATTCTATTTGCAGCAGACAGAATGGGTTCAATGTGTGGTACGAAGGAAAGTTTTGTGTCGAAGGTAACACCTAGATCGGTGAATGTGAGAGGCCGTTGAAGTGGAATATTGTTTATTAAATATTGATATGGAAACGGGCGAGTTTTTAATGTGTACGTCATTACTTGCGAAGATTATTGCGAAAACACCATTATTCAACACGTTTCAGATTGAGGGAGAGTTTAAGACAGTCCTCGATGCTATTGATCTCACAATATAATTTCAGGTCATCCGCGTATATCAAACAGTTGATGTCAATGACCTCGTTTATGAAGGCGTTAAAGAGAAGTGGGCCTAGGTTACTTCCTTGTGGAACACCCGAGGTAGCTGCATATTCCACGGACTTGAAGCCATTGAATATAACATACTGACTCCTACCAGTGAAGTATGATATTGACATATCTCATGTTGTAAGAACAACCTAAAGAGACAAATATATTATCTATCTATCTATCTAGGAAGTTGGATCAGGATCAGAGAAAAGCCGTATCTGTACAATTTCGATATCAGTAATCCATGATTAAGTCTGTCAACGCCTCAGAGAAGTCCGTATATTTGACATCAGTTTGGGATATCCTATCAATGGTTTCAGAAATATATTGGGTAACATTGAAACGGTTGGTGATTGTTGAGCAACCTTTCATAAACCATGTTGAAGCGATGTAATTTGATTGTTCGAATGAGGATATAACCTGCTATAGATGAGGATTTCAAACACTTTGGCGAAGTTGCATATTATTATAACTACCGACATCAAACTTCCCCCCTTTTTTATAAATTGGCCGAACTTTACATAATTTCCATAGAGCTAGGATGATACCAGTTTTGATGCAGATATTTATTAATATTGTCAAAGGACGAGTCAAAAAATATGCACAATCTCTGACAATCAGTGCTAGTGATATATGATTTTAAGGAAAAATCAGCAAAGCTATTGAAAATATTTAAACATACCTTGTAATTTTTTTGAATCATCCAGAAATATGTTTCTCTGCAATTTTTCGGGAATCAATATTAAACACAATTTTCAGTCATTCAAAGTATTTTTTCGTTTCAGCTTCCATGGCTTTCACAATTGTGCTCCTTACATTATCATCGATGGGTATTTTTACGACATTTCTCTTACTTTTTGGATTGTACAAGGTGAGTTTTTCAGATTCATGTTAAAGTGGCGATGTAAAAATTATGAAAGTTAAACAAAGGATTGTTTCAATATCATAGGATAAAATCAAATTTTCTATTTCAAACTTTGTGACACTGTGAATGTCAACATTTTTTTTTTCAGGACTGCAAAATTCTGTTGATACCTTGGATCTTCAATATTATCATTTTCATATTAGCTGACATGTCGTATGTAATCTACAGTTTGATTGTACATGCGGTGAGTATTCTTCAAATTCAGTTTACAAAATGGAAAGTATGAACATTCAAAAGCTTGAGATGATAATTTCATATTCTTCCCAAAAATGGAAACCAGCAAAAACTTTCTTGATTTTCCCAGACCGTTGATTTGGAAAAAAATGTATTTGATTATACAGTGCATTTCTTGAATGTCCCCCCTTTTATTTTTTGAATGTGTCAACTCAAAAAATTGATATTTGGGATAATGGAATTAATGCATAAATACTTTATTTTGAAGTGGAATCGACAGATTAAACTTTCAAGATGGCGACTGGGCGCTATCTGGGAGAAAAAAATTTAAAGAAACGGGGGTCTTCTGATACATATTTTTGAAGCTCCTGACAAATGCTTCACAACCCTGAAGTATGATGTCAATATTTTCAACTACTACAAAAATAATTGCCTTAATACATTGACATTTAACTACATAATAATAAGCTTGAGGTCACTTCAGAAAGTGCTCGAAATGGTTGCCTTGCACTTCTTGACATATGAACAGCCTATTCGATATTTCACGCTGAATATTTCCGAACACAGTAACGTCAATATCTCTACAAATATTTATTATCATCCTCTGCCGTATATCCAATATTGAAGCAGGTTCAGTTTCGTACACCTTCTGCTTCAAATAGCCCTATAAAAAAGTCCAAAGGTGTCAAATCTAGCGAGCGGGCTGGTCATTCTGTAGGACCTCGACGGCCGGGAAAAGTAGTATCCAAATAGTTTCTTACTTGTATTGATAATAATAATCTTCATTGAAATAGGAAACCTAATATACATATCTATGAGTGTAATAATAACACTAGCACAATGAAATATAAAAAATATGTAAAAAAATTATATTTAAACAATTTGAGATTTAAACTAGCATGTAGCCAGACAGTCAACATTACATATAAAGATTTTAGTATCATATGTTAAGTAACTTTTAAATAGCTAATGAAATATAGGTACATATATACATTAAATTATTATTAAAACAGTGATATTTGGTTTCATTACAGATACAAATACCCTAGTGAACAATTAAAAACAATTAAAAACAATAAATGAAAAAACAATAAATGATAGTCAATAATGTCCCAAATAATTCCACATAACTATACCCCTATGTAATTTTGATTGATAAATAGAGGTCCTACAAATTGGTTTCCCAATATTCCTGCCCAAACTTTGTTTTTGTATGAATATTGGGTATGTGTTTCTCGGAAAACATGAGCGTTGGTGTCACTCCAATAACGGCAATTCTGTCTGTGAACATTGCCGTTGAAAAAATGTACATTCGTCACTGAAACGAATATTGTGGAGATGGGTAGGATGCCTTGCAATGGTTTCCATCATGATTTCGGAGAATTCTGTTTTTCGATCAGAGTCATCTCAGTTGAACGGTATATCATTTTATCTCCAAAAGTCTCCTCACAGTAGAAGGAGACACCTCATAAACATTCGTGACGGAATAAGTAGACTGTTCAGGATTTACTACCATCTCATCAATTATTTGCACTTGCTGTTTATTCTTCCGGAATGGACGGATGACCTGGAAGATTTTTGTTATGTACACCACCGGTAGTTGTGAATTTAGGTAAAAGTTTCCTCAAATATTCTCTACAGATAGGACGATTCGGAAAATGTTCATTGAAAATCCTTTCGGTCTCGTGAAAGTTACGCGTCGCACCGTAAATAAAAATCGCTTCAATTTTTTCTTCCAATGGACGAGAATTGACCAGTTTAGAGATTGTTGACGTGGTACCTTTCTACTAGTAAAACCGAAAACTAAATGAGAATATTCTAACTGAACAATGATGTTCATTGTCGTACAGACATTTCATTTTTTGTCGTTTTTATAAACAAAAAATAACTTAACAAACCTTATCGGGTTGTTGGAATTGCCATATGGCAGATAAAGAAAAATATTTCTAGTAATATCGATATTAATGTGTTTGTCTTCAGGAAATTATTAAATGTTTCGCCATTTTGTAGTAGATGAAGATATTGACTTCATATTCTAGGATTGTGGATTATTCGTCAGGAGCTTCAAAATGATGTGTCATGAGATCCCGGTTTTCATTCAATTTTTTTTTTCGCAGATGGCGTCAAGTCTCCATCTTGAAAGTTTCATATGTCAATTTAACTTCAAAATAAATTATTCATACATTAATTTCATTATCCCAAATTCAAATTCTTTGAGTTGATCCGTTCAAAAGATAAAAGGGGGGGGACACTGTATAATTATTAGTACTGAATACCAATCGAAAATTTAACATACAATGGAACTTTTGCGCTGTCCATTCATAGTAAAGCTGGAAAATAATACGATGCTTCGTTTTCTCAAAACATGATTGAGTAAATAAAGTTGGTGACAATTCGAAGTTCAATTTTTGAATATTTTTCCTTGAAAATCTCTTCGAAAAGTCTGTTCAAGTTGAAAATGTTAGCCCAGTAGTAAACTATTTCTATGCAGAGTTACTATCAGAGAGTTCAGTGTATTTTGGAAATTATTTCCATATCAAAGTTATATCCTTTCTGTGAATGTCGCAGAAAAAATAATACGTATCGAGAAATAATGAAGTATTATTTTCATTTAAAAATCAAACTTGTCAGAATCATTTCAGGAGTTTGAATTGAGCGAGGCAAAAGAATTCAACAACGCCAACAAATTGAATTTATAATCTAGTCAAATATTTGTAAGCCTGCATGTTACATACATCCAATAAATATTTTTAACTCCCATTCCATTAGTTTTCACTCAATATGTGAAGTAAACAACATTGTTTACTTTCACGTGTCTATCTCCTATAATCCATTCCATTTTATATTAATCCACGTGGTATACGCAGTTGAAAAAACAAATAATTCATATAAGCCTGGTGAAAAATGTTTGTATTTTAAAGTTGTCCACAAGTATTCTGGTTTAACGATGACTCTGCCCAAAAATCGCATGTTGCCATGCTAACACCCCGTGAATTTACTTCTATTTACTCGAACACCCCCTAAAAATAGCTTCGTCCTACTACCATGACTTTCCTCAACTGAAAAAATGTCTAGAAGATATTGATTTTATAGATAGACCAATCATGACTCTGGACACCCATTTTGATAAAACAGTTTCATTATTTCCACGTGTTGTTGAAAGATGTAGCTGTCCCTGATGATTTGGCAAAACAGTCTGAATATGTGACGTATGACAACTAATTTGACAGATGTAGCTTCAACAAGATTGCTGAAGAATGCTGTCAAAGTTCGGAAGTCCTTGCTACAAGACCCTATATATTAATAAATGAGCTTGATGATAAATGGCCTTCATTCATTGACATATTAGGCTAAAATTATTTAAATACATCCTTGTACTCAATAATTGTAAATGCTGCTGCCTCGACATGTCGTTTGATTTTCACGCAGCATCAAATCGCATCTTTATGTGAGCTTCCTCAACTTCCTTCTAAATATAATCATTTGGATTCCGTCGCTATCGAACGACTTTCCGGCAATTTCTCGATACGATATCATGGTGACATAATTTCGTTGCAAACGCCGAAGAATTGAGATTTTTATGCGGCATTACACAAATGTATCACTTCAAACTCATTTCCATATATTTACTTGTCCCGCATATCGCATTCTGAGAGATTAGCGATCAATGAAGTAAAGTGGGTAATTTCAGGAGGAAAATAGATTGGAGAATTTGGTCGGAAAATTGGTTTTCTGCGGGACTCTATGTATTTGAATAATTTGAATAGTTCCCGTAAATTCCAACGGGTCATTAGGTATGCGGTTAGTTAGATTATCACAGGAAAATTTACATACTACTCGCTTGATAATAATAATAATAATAACGTCTTCATTCGCCTAATATAACAACATAAAGAAACAATATACAAAAAAATATTGAGGTGAATGGCCGGAGTGGAAAGTCAAAAAAAATTCTGGCTAGCGAAAAAAGGTATTTTCATCTTCCGCAATCTGAAGAAGACATTATTTTGATGTTCTTAGAGAAAAATACACTGAGAACTATATTCGCACATACAAAATCCAAAAACACAGAGAAAGAACAGAAATTCAAGAATTGCATTCATAAGATACCTTCTTTTTGTGGTAAACGTAATATTGGTGAAGCTTCAAGGCATTGAAAGTGTGTGAGAATGAACATCGAGATCATATCAGAAATAGTGAATAACAGGATTGAAATTGTCAGAACACATTTTGAAATCAGATGGTGAACATAGAGTTGAATGGAACAAGAAAAAAATGATTGCAAATGGACCCCCATCTGAGGGACGTGAGCTCGAAAAATCATTTATGTATTCCACATTGAAAAACTACATGGACATGTTTTGAGGACAACAGCGACATCTCAGTCAACGAACGACAGAACACATCAACTAAAACCCTTTGGTCATTGTCGATCAATCAATGATGTACGAGAACTATCATGGGAGACGTACAAGAAGTGTTGCTACTGTTAACTATGCATGTGCCCATCACATTAGGGTTGGAAATTAGGGCCCCTCTGATTGACCACATTCATTAACGACAGCAGCGACATCTGTCATTAACGGCAGAACACATGAACTGAAAACCCTTTGGTCATTGTCAACAACTCAATTACAAGACATGACCTACAAATGATCTCTAAGACCTTCTGATTCAGCTTTGGATGGCATGGCGGATGGTATGTGTCTATCATGATCTAGAACCGTGCTAGATCAACTACTGCGAACCAAAGAGAAAAACTGCAAGTACCATTAGATTTTTCCGAGTTCTGAAGACCATGACAGATTATAACATTCGAAACGTTGAGATAAATATCTGTATATTTTCTTAGCTTCGTTTTGTTAGGAAAAATGATTAAATACGACAAGTTACTGATGGAACCTTTGTGAAAAAACAAAAAGTTTTTCCTGATTATGGCAGATGAGAATACTCGAATAGGTCAACGAAAAATTGATTGAAAAATTAATTTTCTGTTATATATGGCCTACTTTCACCTGAAATTAGGCAAATTGAGTGGAGTATGGCAATGTAGCCAATGTTACAGTTCTTGATAATGGCTTCAAAGCAACGCTGAAACTTCTAACGACTGAAACTTTCAGAAACAGTTCAACTAGGGGTCAAAAATACACCCCTACAAAATGAAAAGAAACAGTCGGTGGTGTAATTAATGTTCCAGAGATCCCAATCCCTTGAACAATGTTTTCACGTCACAGACACTCACCCTTTTAGATGTCTTCATCAAAAAAAAAAATATTCACAAAGGAATCCAGTTTATTCACAACTAAGCCATGGATATGAAAAAATTCAACGGTGTTTCATAAATCACCCCTCATATAAAAGCCTGAAAGACCCCACGCTGTGCTGATACATTCAGGCGATACAAATTAAATTTAGTACGAGTCGGCAGGTCGACAAAGGCCCTGTAAAAAATCTGCAGCCTACCCAACATTGAGGATTATAACACTGCGAATTAATTTCGTTACGTTGGAGCAGGACTTATCAATAACTCTACCAGTTTCGGAAAAAAAATATAATTAACCTGCAAAGATTTCTACGGCGGTGAAAGAGAATGCGAGGGAGGAGAATTTGGGATTGGAGGAATTGGGGAGCTCGGCGACGGTTTCTAATGAACAGAAAAACAGAAAAATCATTGGCACATTGATTCCAGTGAGGTCTGTCTCAAACTCTTTTTCAATTATACCTCAACTTTCCATTGAAACATACCACAGACACAACCCCGTTCAGTTTTTTCTGGAGAGAGAAATTAGAAACTTGGAACGAACGTACAGGTTTTTGGAACCGATATTTTTGAAGAATAAACATTGAATTGGTTAGAACGGCAGATAATTTCTCCTGAGTTCAGATATAAACCAACTGAATATTCAAATATTATAAAAAAATCATCAACTCGTTGTATGGACATCTGATAAACTGATTACCAATTTTCACATTGGAATTAGGAAAAAAAATACTATTCTATTCGGTCATTCAGCAAATGTTCAGAATCCTTAAATTTATCTCTTGAATCTATCAATTTCCAATAATTTCGAATGATTGAGTTTGAAACATGGAATATTTCAAATGAAATATTTCATAGTTGTTGTTGAACTTGTGCCCCTCTGCCACAGCATGGTCTGCAAATATGAAATTGGATTTCACATTCAAGAAACCACTATGAACTATGTTCCTTCATTCTTTGGGAAAGGCTCTTCTTGTTTGGCCAATATAAAGTTCTTGGTAAGAAGCAAAAGTCGAGTATATTTCTGATATATCCAATCCATCATTGTTTTCGATAAATTTGCTTACATTATTATTCGTTCTGTAATCTACGTTCAAGCCTTTTCAAAAAACAAGCGATTTTTGTGGAAGGTTAACCAAAACATGTCAATGTGACTTACTATCGGTTCTTGAAGTGAAAAAGACCTTGTATATGACTTGTTTTTGTAGCTTTTCGAAAAGAATCTAGTCGATAATATCTACCTTGTAACCGTTGTCGACAACAATTTGTTTACTAAAGATCTTTTTTTTTCGAAAATAACTTTCTCACATCGGAATATTCTATAGTATATAAAGCATGCTCTGACGAGTGCAGAAAATGTTTGAAGTGATTAAATCCCGAGAAATAGGCTTATAAAATATATCAGTCTTCCCAATATATGATTTGGATTTTCATTCTTCCAATATCTGTCAGTCAAAATGAGAACAACTTGTAATTTATTTTAGTATGTCTCAAATGGAACTTTTTTTGTGTTCACACTATTTTTTGTTTCAGCTCCAGTGGAATCCTACTGCAGCAATAATAATAACTATAGACTTCTTTTTGAATTCCTTACATGTAAGCAAAAATGAATTGTGTTTCATAAATGTATCGACAAACGCAAAACGTTTATATGATCAGTAGACTAACATTTAAGTGATATTCGCCGTTTTTTGTTTCAGGTTTACAGTTTGCTTTGTGTGATATCGCAATACCAAGAATTGAAGGCAGGAAGAGGTAGAACTTTAGATGACCAATTATACAGGGTAATATTCAATGTTATATTCCTTTTTCAACAATGCCACTTGATGAAATAATAGATCCTCCATTGACAAGCTTTTCAATTAAAAATCAAATGAAAGTTCAATTGAATATATTTCAGAAATATGGAAGAGATTTGTGGAAATTATAACCCACATCCAGGCTCAAAGTTATATTTCAAAACAATAATAATTTATTGAATTCTTCAAGATCACCTTGTGATCACTGATACTTTATTTAAATCATGATAATTCATTCAATATCTTTTCAGGTACCAAATGTGCATTATAGTTCTCAACCAACAGCGACCAGTTTCATGAGTTCCAGAAAACCTGTCACCTACTACGAAACAAAACCTACGCCAACCCAAAGTCCTACGGGGCCAGGTAAGTTTTCATAGTACCAATCAATCGAATCACCATTGGTGCAGGGGGAGTATTAGTACATACACTACAAATGTGATATTCTACTTCTTCAATTGTAACATGTTCTATCTGTATCATTATTGGAAAGCGCATTCATCTATATTTCATGGAATAATGGTCCAAAGTCAACATTTCGTCAAAACAAATTCATTCATACACTCGTGATGGAACACGTCATTAAATCGGTTTGGAACATATTCATAACATTAATTAATATCGGTTCATTACTATTGCCAGTCTATAAATGTAATGAAGCATTTTGTCAGTGATATTTGTACTATTATTTCACCAATTTCAATGGCTTTCCACGAAATTTATGATTCCACATATCAATTTATACTTCATAATAACCAAAAGTGAAAGTTATTGCAATTTTATTTTCAAAACTGAAAATAAAATTTCCAACAATCGACAATACCCATGTAAATTTGTATAGGACAAGCTGAAATCATAATAGCCTCTTTGTTGTATGAAATGAAGTTTCTCTAGTCAGTTCTGATTACTTTCCTATAGTTGAGAAGAACGCTACTGCTGAATTCCACATTTCAATTTCAGACTTACATTCACCATTTTGTTGATATTTATATTTTTGAATTCATCACCAAAAAATATCTCAGAAAAACATTCTCTATAGATGAAAATAAGATGGTTGTTTATTGTTTAGCTTTAATAATGTTAGATTCAAGTTAGAGGTTGGATAATCAGAGTTGAAGCTGGGTTAGATTAGCTTTTAGTTTCATGCTGGGTATTCAAAGTTTGAGGTTAAACTAGGTGAGGTTCAAGTTTGAGATTGGATGATTAGGGTTTATGTTAGATTTTAGTTGATGTTGAATGATTAGGGTTTATGTTAGATGAGGTTAGGTTCAAGTTCAAGATTCGATGTTTAGGGTTTAGGTTAGATTAGGTCAGATTTGACTTTGAGGTTGAATGATTATGGTTTAGATTAGATAAGGTTGCATTTAAGTTCGAGGCTGGATGATTAGGGCTTAGGTTAGATTAGGTTAGATATAAGTTTGAGGTTGAATTATCAATATCGAGGTTAGATTTAAGTTTGAGGTTGGATGATTAGGGTTTGTGTTTGCTTTAAGTTCGAGGTTAGATCAGGTTAGGCTTGAGTTTGAGTTCAATTCAGCTCAACGATTTTGATCAATTATATTCTGTAGATTCCTGAGGTTAACATTGGTTACAGTAGGTTTGACTTGAATTTAGCTTAGGTAAGTTTTCTTCTCAGGGTGTTAGTTGTCCTCACAACTCCGATTATTTCTATTTTCGAATTCTAAGGCATGCAAGTTTCAATATTTCATATTTTAACTCTATGGAAGAGTACGAATGAAATGGGTGATTGAGGTTGAGGTTAGGTTAGGGGTATTTCATCTCAGCGAAAAATTTTGATCAATTGTTGTAGAGATGATTATGGTTCAGGTTGGGTTGTGTTGGGTTTCACCTGAAGTCAGTACATGAATAAATGACTAGAAACATGAATAACCTTTGATAAAATTTCAGCACCATCCCCATCGATCATCATCCCCGACATCCTGTCACCCAACATCGGCAGTACAAGAAGAGGATCCAGGAAGTCCGTGAAATTCGGTGACAGTAATACTCTGCCACACCACAACGGTTCCCAACTTCTGGATCCGTGGTCTATAGAGTCCAAATCGCCGATACTAGTGAAGAGAGTGATGGACACTGCACCATTAATCAATTCGGGAGGTGTTAATGTGACGCAGCTGAGTGTGTAGTAATGGGTCGAAACTGTATAGTCAGAACTAGCAGCCAAAAACTTCTTGAGGGACTGTGGAGGTTATTCGTGAAGGGTATATTCAGTTTTGATCAATTTGAAATTGAAATTGTAATACTCATGAGCTTGCACTAGTTCTCTTAGTTTTCAGTCGCAGTTTTCAAACACTGATTTCCCAAAAATAATCCAACAACTCCTGAAAGTTTTCACAGAGATCAACAAACTCCAGCTGGTCATCAGAATATTCATTCTAAACATTACATCCACTGCAATAACCAACAGCTCAAGAGACACGTTCACGCAATTTCGAATGAGAAATAACGGACTAGTGAATCTAAAATTGACAGTTTTGGGAAGGTTTACATTTATTTTGTTGGTATAAAGCATTTATACAGATACCCCCAGTATGACACGATATACTTCTTTATCAGACTGTAAAATATTAGTATTACATATAACATAGTCAAGTTTTGTTGCATTCACAGTATTTCTTGGCAAGATTCAAATTTAGTGAGGTTATGTGAAGTTACAGGTTAGGTTGAGTTTGAGGCTATCATATTCTCAATGAATTGGCAGAAAATGAACAGCCAACAGAAATTTTGGAAAACTTCAATGAATCAAAATCAGAAAATAAGAATCGAAATAGAAGAAAGCCGGAACAATTTTTTCATATCCGAAATTGAGAGTCTAGAGAAAGAGTCTAGAGTCTATTTGACCCCTTGATCCACTAGCGCGTTTCCTTTAATTCCGCAGTGGCTGGAAACCCACACAAATTTTTTCGGGAAAACATTGGTCGAAGCTTGAACCAATGTAAAGTATTCAACAATGATGAGATCTTCATTTCTTAACAAACCATCAATATGCTCTGCCCATGACATTTTTCTATAGAAGCGGTGCAGAATTTTCAAAATCGATTTCCTGATTTTCCATCATCTTCCATCATCTTGAATGTTCATGTATTGATCTCAGTCTTCGATAATGAACACAGTAAATTGTGTATTGCAATACATCAAATTACATTAAATGAACTTTTGAGAATAGTCAGAGGTTTTTTGCTTTTGTTTGACACTTTATGTACGGTGGTTTTCAGATTTTCATTCAATGTGACATTCAGGCGGTAAAGTTATAGACTATCTAACAACTGCAAAAATAGAGTTCATCATAGAGTCTAAACTTTTTATCCATGCCCATCATGTTTCTACTGGAAATCCCTGTATCTGAGATAACCTATACGTAGAGGTTTTTCTTCTAAAACTTCATATCCATGTTTCCTCTGTAATACCCTGGATCTAAGATGATCTATACCTTCTATAACTTCATATCCATGCTTTTACATGTTTCTACTGAAAAACCCTGGAACTGAAATAACCTTTATCTAGGGGTTCTTCTTCTAAAACTTCATATCCATACTCTTCCATGTTTCCACTGGAAAATCCTGGATCTATGATAACCTTCACGTAGGGGTTATCCTTCTTGAACTCGACATCCATGCTTCTCCATGTGTCCACTGGAAAATCCTGGATGTAAGATAACCTATACGCAGGGGTTTTCCTTCTGAAATACTTTTCTGTGTATTGCCTATCTGTTTCCACTGGAAAGCTCTGAATCTAAGATGACCTCTACGCAGGGGTTATTTTTCTAAAACTCCATATCCGTATTTTTCCATGTTTCCACTGGAAAAACCTAGATCTAACATAACCCTTTCGTAGGTGTTATTCTTCTTAAACTCCATATTCATGCTTCACCTTGTTTCTACGGGAAAACCCACGATCTTAGATAACCTATACTTAGGAGTTATTCTTCTTGAACTTCATATCCACGCTATTCCATGTTTCTACTGGAAAACCCTGGATCTGAGATAACCTTTACGTAGGGGTTCTTCTTCCCAAACTTCATATCCATGATTTCCCAAGTTTCTACTAGAAAACCCTGGATCTGAGATGACCTCTACTTAGGGGTTAGTCTTCTCAAATTAAATATCCATGCTTTTCCATGTTTTACTGGAAAATCCTGGATCTAAGATGACCTTTACGTAGGGGTTCTTCTTCTCAAACTTCATATCCATGCTTTCCCAAGTTTCTACTAGAAAACCCTGGATCTGAGATGACCTCTACTTAGGGGTTATTCTTCTGAAATTGAATATCCATGCTTTTCCATGTTTCTGCTGGAAAACTCTGGATCTGAGATAACCTTCACGTGGGGGTTCTTTTTCTCAAACTCCATATCTATACTTTCCCATGTTTCTACTAGAAAATCCTGGATCTGAAATGATCTCTTCTCAGGGGTTATTCTTCTAAAATTCCATATCCATGCTTTTCCAAGTTTCTACCAGAAAATCCTATATGTAGGAGTTATCCTCTTCGAATGATAAATGAAAAAAAATGTTTCGATTCTGCTATTGCGAGGTTAACAGTCCAGTAAAAAAATTTCTGGGAAGTTTAGACATATTTTTCAAAATAACCCTTTCAGTCGGGTACCACTACCAGAGTGTGAGTTGTAATTCTAGGACTATATTGGTGAATTATGTACCTACAGGGCGTTTATGAAAATATGCTTGAAAAATTGTACGAGTATAAACCAAAACAAGACACACCTCAAGAAAAGTATTTCAAATATTCATCATCATATTGTTTTGAAAACTTTTACTCACATCGATCTGACGTAGGATAGAAAATATTTAAAACGTATTAGAACCTTATGAGTTTTGAACAATCATTCTGCTGTTCTTTCATGAGAGTGTTTCATTTTCAAGTTTGCATTGATTTCGAAACTTTTCTCCACGCTGAAAAAATATTGGTACCATAAACCTTACTCAAATTGTTGGAAATTGAATATATCTTCCTCCGCTGAACTGAAAAAAGTTTTATGTTGGAGTTTTATGAATTCAACACTATTTAAAGAAAAATATATATTTGTTATAACAACAAATTATTTATAAATCTACGAGTGAATGGAAATTACAATGTAAAAATTACATACGAACTTGTGTAATGATTTTATACTATAAATTTTAATGAAACCTCGTTTATATTGTACAGAGAAAGGTCAATTATTGAATAGTATACTATATGTTTTTACTCAAAAGATTGCAGTTTGACTATCGATATATAATCAATTTCCAAAGTGTGATCTGAATGTTGTGAGATTTTTGTGATACTATTGATGTTAATCGTAGTCTGTTGATATTCAAATTGCAATCGTAATGAGCCCAATTGTGAAAACATGTTACAGTATACTATATTGTTTATGAATGTATATATAATAAACTATTTTGTACATAAAGGAATTCAATTATTTTTCCTAGGCCCCTGATTACAAACCAACTGAGAGTTTCAAAAACAGCTCCTCATTTATTCATATCAAAGAATGAACGTCTAATATAAAACTTCACGAAATTTTTGGGAGAAGAAAATGTTTTTGGCTTTTCACTTCTCCAGCAATTTTTCCCTAGAAACTATTCTCTTCTAAAAACTATATCCTCTTTAATTCACCTATGAAATTTGTACTTCGTTCATTCATTTTTTGACTATATTACTTCAGTTGGTAGTCATTTCCAGAGCTTCCTTTTATTTAAAGGAAAATGCACTTCTAACATTCTTTTTTTCATTCTTCATAATCTTCTTCTCCATAATCTAGATCATTTTCGTCAACAGTCAGAGGCTCATCGTCTATGGAGCACTTCTGACATCTGCAAATTGAACAATTCATTCATTTCTTCGCAAAATAAAACAACCTCAAATTACATTCACGTGAAAAATTATGAGAACTATTTGAATATATGTAAAGTGAGACATATGAAAATATTGCGTAACAAAATCCCATAACAAAAATGAAATGAATTTTCTATTTCTTTTTCCATATTCAGTTATCCAATTTTCTTATTTGTCTTTGTGTGTTCGTCCAAAAGATCGTGTGTTAAGTTTTTTTTTTTGTAATTATGTTCAACATTTCCATTTCCGTCAGTCATTTCAGAAACCAGTTTGTAGATAATTAATTTTTTTTTGAACGATGCTACTAATTTTCCTTTATTTTCAGTATTTTAATAACATATGTCACAAAAAGGATTTGAAACTTCATAACTCATATTTATTATGCGGTCAGAACGCCTTAGTGCACATACCGCAGGTACTGTAGGTAAATTTACCTGAATTTGGGTTACATCAGGTAATATCCTTTGTGTTGGATCTTCTCTAGGCTTACTGTTTCTAGAAGTGTCTATTGTTTTGTGTAGATCATATATTCATATATTAAAACATAACATTCAATATACTACACAAAACAATACACACTCCTAGAAACAGTAAACCTAGAGAAGATCCAACACAAAGGATTATTACCTGATGTAACTCAAATACAGGCAAATTTACCTACAGTACCTGCAGTATCTGCACTAAGGCGTTCTAACCGCATAAAAGAACAAACAAGAGGATGAAATGTTCAGTTTGTTCAAGTTGGTTAAGTTGGCTTGGGGTTAGGTTAGGCTAGCCTAGGCTAGGTAAGGTTTGGGTCACATTAGGTAAGATTGGAGTTAAGTTAGATTATATTATATTAGGTTAAGTTAAGTTAGGTTAGGATAGGCTGGGCTAGGTTAGGATTATGATAGATTAGATTGGAGTAAGGTTAGGTTAGATTAGGTTAAGTCCGGGTAGGGTAGGCTAGGTTAGGGTGAGGGTGAGGTAAGGCTACATTGAGGTTAGGTTAGGTTAAGTAAGGTAAGGACAGGCTGGACTAGGTTGAGGTTAGGTTAGGTTGCATTGGGGTTGTGTTAGGTAAGGTTAGGTTGGGCTAGGCTGGGCTAGGTTATGTTTAGGTTAGATTTGATTGGAGTTAGGTTAGGTTGAGTTGGGTGAGGCTAGGCTAGACTAGGTTAGGTACGGTTAGATTGGGATTAGGTTAGGTTGAGTGAGGTTAGGCTAGGCTAAGTTAGGGTTAGGTTCGGTTAGATTGGGGCTAGGTTAGGGTCAGATTAAAATATTGAGTTTCATAATTCGAATAGTTTTTTAAATGATTATTTTCTCCAAAATCCTTACCAATATTTTCCTCTCAAACCCCTTTTGATTGATATACCGCAGTCTTTTGTAGGTATGATCGCAGTAACTGGCAAATACAGACAAATTCACCTACAGTACCTACAGTACCTGCACTAAGGCGTTCTGAGCGCATAAAAGAACAAACAAGAGGATGAAACGTCCAGTTTGAGTAAAGTCTCAAAGATGATAGCATGACCAGCTGTCGAAAGCGCTCGCATATAATAAATAGAAGTTATAAAGCTTCAAATCCTTTTTGTGACATATGTTAATATTGAAGTAATTGAATATATACGTACTTGCTTTCGCTAATACCATAATTGATACAGGTACTACCAACACACTCGCAACAGCCATGGTGAAAAAATCTGAAACTGGATGCTCCCATTGAGATACAGGCATCTCTGCATTTCTTGTAACTCATACAGTTCATCCAGTAGGCCACTGAACAATTCACAGAAACCATTTGGTGTTCAATACCTCCGTCTCCATCTGTAAAGAAAAAGATAATTATAACGAAGAGAATGCTAAACGAACTCTTCTCAAGAAGACAGAGAAAAAATGGATTCAAGCAACATTCTGTCGAGTCAGCAATTTGAATAATATGACCTTTTGCGTTACTGTAGCAACTAATTTCCACTTTCCGCATGAGAAGAAAGATTTAGCTGTATTCATTAATCTAGGGAATTTTCAGAATTTTTGAATCTATTGTCTTCCTAATGGTTTGCAAGTGAGGTCTCAACTTTCGAAAAACTACAACTATGATCTTTCATTCTTTGGGATAATGTTCTGCCCTTTTGGCCAATATAAACTCTTCAGTGGGAACCACAAGTCAAGTTCTGATCTATCCTATTATTATTTTCGATAGATTTGCTCAAATTATTATTTGTTATGTGAGCTACGTCCTAATATTCATTTTTCAAAAATGAGCAAAGGTATTTTTTTAAATTTCGCGGTCTACGTACCTACATTTGTACAGGGCTCACGAAAAACCCACTTTTCGAGCACTGAAGATGAATTTAATCAAATTCGAAACGAAGGCAAGAAAACAATTGTGTTTTCTTCAAGAAAAAATGGGACATTTCAAATAGTATTAACTCAAAAGTAAATTTTTCAGAAATTGTTTATGAAATATTCAACTTTTCCATGATTCATTCTGAAGGAGTGTTCAAAAACAATAAATTCCAACTTTGTTATACATATTATTCAAAAGCAATACAGCCAACTCACCTAGTTGATTATTCTTCCGTATACTAAACTGAACCTGAATTTTTTCACTTGTCCAGGTATGAAGGGGGTCTGATGTTTCGACTAAAGCTTCAAAAAGTTGGGGAACCGGTTCTACTATATCCTCAACATTTGACGCCTTGTTCACTACTGCCAAATCATCTGCTGTTTTTGGACACATGTCTGTAACAGGAAGAAAATAAGCTGTCATTTTCGATAAATTTCCACCAACCATACAGCGTTGCGGTGTCAATCAGAAACGAATACCGAAAAGCAAAGTCTGTGTCCCATTTTTGAGTAGAATCCACTACCTATCCCACGACACTTTCAGGTATGTACAGGCATTGGTTGGTGTTGAATTACAAATCCATATAGTTGCCTTGCAGTAAAATCTGCATTGAAAGACAGGAGACGAATTCATTATGGCGATCGATGTCGAAACATGGCTTTGGAACTGATCGTCTTTGAGTTAGGTTAGGTTATGTTAGGTTAGGTAATGGTGGGTTAGGTTAGGCTAGGCTAAGTTAGGGTTAGGTTAAGTTGGATTTTGGTTAGGTTAGGTAAGGTTAGGCTGGGATAGGTTGGGGTTAGGTTAGATTGGGGTCGAGTGAGGGTAGATTGGGGTTGAATAAGATTAGGTAAGGATAGGCTAGATTGAGGTAAGGTTGGGTTAGGTGAGGTTGGTTTGGGTATAAGGAATACTAGGTTAGGCTAGGCTAGGCCAGGTGAGGGTTCGGTTAGGTTAGATTGTGGTTAGGTTAGGTAAGACTAGACTAGGCTAGGTTGGGGTTGTATTACATTAGGGTCAAGTAAAGTTAGATTGAGGTTGAGTTACATTTGGTTAGGCTAGGGTAGGTTAGGGTTGAGTTGACTTGGGTTGGCTTGAGGTTATTTTAGGTTAGGCTAGGTTAGATTGGACTTAGATTAGGTTAGGTTAGGGTAGGTTAATACATACTGTAGGTTAGGGTCATACATACGTTAGGTTAGGTCTTAGGTTATGTTAAGTTAGGTTAATACTTACGATAGGTTAGGTTAGGTTAGATTAGGTTAGGTTAGGGTATGGTAGGGTAGGCTAGGATAGGTTATATTAGATTAGATTGGAGTTGGGTTAGGTTAGGTTGGGGTAGGCCAGGCTAAGTTAGAGTAGGCTAGGTTAGTGTTAGGATCAGATAAGGTTAGATTAGGGTTAGGGTAGGTTGAGTAAGGTAACACTATGCTAGACTAGATAAAGGTGAGGTTGGGTTAGGTTAGGGTTGGGTTAGGTTGAGCTAGGCTGGACTAGGTTACGTTAAGGTTAGGTAAGATTGAAGATAGGTAAGATTGGGGTTAGATTAGGTTAGGGTGAGTGAGGTGAAGCTAGGCTAAGATAGGTTAGGGTTAGGTTGGGTTAGGTTAGGTTGGGGTTAGGGAATATTCTTTCAAATAATTATTTCCTCCAAAATCCTTTCCAATCTGTTCCTTTCAAAACCTCTTTCGATTGATATATCGCAATCCTCTGTGGGCATGATCGCTGCACTAAAGTACAGCCCAAAATTATGTTCGAAACAACTGTCACCCGCTCGGGGTAATAGAAGGAAATAACAATAAATATAGAAAAATTCCAAACAGGTGAAACTATAGTCAATTGGATGGGATTGGATTGGATTGGATATTGTCGTGACTGTGAATAATACAGTGCGACGGTATTATGGTACTAAGGGTTGAAACTTCATTACAGGAATGCTAGATGACGTTAATGTAGCTGAATTTTGAGATTTTTTTGACAAACAATTTTTTTTATCCCAGATAAAAAATTATTTATTTTTTTTAAGTATCCTATGTTACTTCTAATACCTCTAAGAGCATGTGTAAACAATTTCATGATGATTGGTTGAGTAGTTATCGCGTGAAACCGTGACAAACAAACTTACATTCGTATTTATAATATTAGTAGGGATGTTTTGCTTCTTTTTTTATTACTTTTTTCATTGCTAAAGTTTCTTATTTTTATAGTTATTTTCTTGTTTCTTAGATCCATCTGATTTTCTTTCGATTGGTTCAGTTGTTTTTTTGTTATTTTTTGTTTCTTTAGGACAGCTTTGTTTTATATTTTTAGTTTTTGTTATTAGTTGTTGGTGGTTTGATAGCCTTAGTATCAGTGACTTTGACCTGGGTTTCCATACGACGACCTAGACATGATGTATTTTTCACTTTTAAGTTGTTTTTATATTTTATTATTTAATGTTCCAAAAGCGTTCTTAAATGTAAAGTTTTTCAAAAGTTTCTTCACGAAAAAAAAATGTTCAATTCCAAGTGTTTTTCATTCTTTGAACACTTCTTTTTGCACCATCAGAGGGCTTCGCGAAATGTACCTTGCCCACATTAAATTTAGGTCTTGCGCCGCCACTGATCCTCAATTAAGTATTTCCATTAGAAAGCATTTTATTTCGTAAATGCTAGTCTGCCTGTCACAAAACTTTTACAGATTAAGAGCTCAGCTTTGCGAGTACAGGTATAAAAGTCGGCAAACTTACCCAAACAATTGCAACACTCCGTATATAAACTCCCGAGGCAAGTGAAGCACTGCGCCGTACAGGTACGATTATTCTTCAAATCGCACTGACACGATTGTATCAACAAACACTTGCTCACAACAGGACCACAAACAGCTTCATTACAACTGTGAACCGTGAGAAATGTGCCCAAAAACGCAGTTAGAAAAATGACCCACTTCGGCACCATTTTCAATCGAGCACGGAAAAAATTACGAGACACATGCGATCTGTAGCTCGATAAAAACTATTTATTTTGCTAATGACATTCTCAGGTGTATTTAAATAAGTTAAAAACGTGTTTGGATTCAAGATTCAACAATATACATAAATTATGCCGAGTTACTTTCAACGCAAATTGTATACAGAGTCGGTTAGAAGTTGCGGTTTACCGTGAAGGTTTCTTAGAACATGGTAATTTTCCCGATAGACTGAGTCAAGTGTCGAACGATCATTGAAAGTATTCAGATGACAAGTGGGTATTATGAATTGCCTGCAGGTAGAAGATTAGTTACTCGGAAGAAATGGTTATACTCCTAATTCCCTGTAATACTATTGTTTTCTACGGGGACGGCTCTCTAAAGGCGGATTTACACCAGACGGACAAAAACACAACAAACTTGAGCTGTCAAAACAAGAAAAAAATTTGTCGCAGGCGACTGTTTTTTTAACAACGAAGTGTCCCGTCAGCAGGCGGAAAGATCAAGAGGTTTCGGTGTCCCAGCACATTCAACAAGTTCTCAAATTCGTGATTGAGCTTTCTTAGAAAAATAAAAAACAATGATCTCAGTTCCATTCATTCCTATATTCAATCATATTCAATCATCAAATCTGATATAATTTTATTTCTTTCATTGACAACTTGTTTATTTAGTGGAAATTCACTGAGGATACACTATAAAAACTATAAAAACACACGATAGTTTTATATTTGTTGACACATTCACGGATTGCACAATACCTTTAGACTCTTTTAACTCGATTTTTCACAATACCCCTTTCTAATCAAAACCTCCGAAGTGAATACGCAATAATTAAACAAATAGCAGTTGATAACATAATACCTATTACTCTACTTAACATCATTATAATGAAATATCAATAAGAATCAGTAATGAAAGAACTTTATTAAATTTTCACAAGACCAGAACACAAATATGTTAATATCAATTATACCGATAGAATCTCCGAGAATATTTAAAAATTATCTTTCAAAATTCAAACTAAAAACATCCTACACATCCACCGGAAATTTAGAAAACAGATTATTTATTGCCAAACCTAAATTAGACAAAGGAAAGAGATCTGGTATATATCAACTAGAATGCCCCGCCATATATACAGGCTAAACTGCTAGAAATTTTGATATAAGATACCACGAACATGTCATTTCGGATAAAAAATCATTAATATACGAACATTTTCAAAATTCTAAATATAAAATAGATAAAAATAATTTAAACATTTTCCACACATGCGAAAAAGGGGAAATGATGAATCTGTTGGAATCTATGGAAATGAACAAGTCAAAGAAAAATCCCAATTCTATTGTCCTCAACGAACAGCTTGATCTAAACAATAGTCCCCTTCTGAACCAATAACCCAGTTCCCAAAACCTCCATTTCATCAAAAAAAAATTTTTTTTGTTGAGGTTATCCCAGATATAGACAATGTAGGTACCAAACTACACACATCGGAAAAGTCTAGGGATATTTTTAAAAATGGCAATAATTTTTTTTTAAATCGCTTTAGGGAAAACAAGATACAAAAAAAAATTGGAATCAGTACAAAGTATGGCCTCCACGCTGGTTTATTACATATCTACATCTATCGTGCATCGACAAAATGAGATTGTCAATGTCTTGTTGAGGTACATTTGCCCATTCAGCGATTAAAAGCTCTGTCAATTGAAACGTTGTATGAATGTTCCCCATATGCGGAGTAATTCTTCGTTGAAGCATGTCCCACACATGCTCGATGGGATTCAGGTCCGGTGATTGTGCTGGCCATGGCAATACATCAACTCCTTCGTTGGTGAGCCAGTCAGTCACTAGACGCGCGACATGTGGACGAGCATTATCGTGCATTAGGTGGAAGTTTTCACCAACAGCACCAGCAAACGGACGGACGATAGGTAGAAGAATGGTGTCGAGGTACTGTCGAGCTGTGAGGGAGCGATTTGGAAAAACGAGATCGATTCTGCCGCCGATCATGATTCCGCCCCATAGCATTACTGTACCACCTCTGTATGTGTGGACTTCCTGGACGTGTCTCAAACGTTCATTATTTCCAGGTCGTCTCCACAGTCTTACTCGACGAGAATCTGGATGAAATCCAAATCTGGATTCGTCTGTAAACAAAACTGTGGCCCAATCATTTGCATCTTAGTTTTGATGTTCTTGACACCACTCTAATCTTCTACCGCGATTGCCTCTCGACAAAGGTGGACATCTAAGTGGCCTTCTGTTGTGGAGATCTGCTTCATGCAGTCGATTTCTGACAGTATCACGACCAATGGTTACCTGGTGCGTCTGCTGCAACACGTTAACCAACTCAGGTGCTGTGATTGTCGGTTGTCTTCTTGCGGTTAAGACCAAAAATCGGTCTTGAACTGCAGTTGTAGCGCGTCCTCGCCCCGGATGTTGTTCGGCTGGACTGCCAGTTTCACGGAAAAGCCGCCACAATCGACTGATAACACTTTGGGAGACCCCCAAACGAAGAGCTACATCATTTTGTCGCATGCCAGCTTGAAGAAGCCCTACAGCTCTATTTATCTCAGCCAATGGTATGTGATGGCGTTCCATGTTGAAGCACAATATTTCCAGTTTAATTGCTGAGCAAGAACTGCATAGAATGTACAAACTCGACACTTTCAGATTATTCATTTTAGCCGAAAACCTACAGTTTGTAAAAAACTTGATAAAAGATTAGTTACCGTTTTTGTAGGCTTTGTTCAACCCATAGAAATCTACAGGGTGGTCGAGTGTACCAATTTAATCGAAATTAAACGACCTCATGCATTTATTTTTATGATATTTAGTATGTTATAAAAATATCCCTAGACTTTTCCGATGTGTGTATTTATGATAGGACAGGCAATGTAGGTATAAATTGAATGTAATCTAGTTAGTTTTGAAAATGGTGTAATGACCGAAACTAGTCAACAAATATAAAACTATTGTAAAAAATAGACAAATGTGTGTTTTTATAGTGTATCTTCAATATCGTTTTATCCGTTTCATAATCTATTCGTCTTCTTAACACTGATCTGATTCCAGTATCTTGGTTCTTTTCGCTTTCTCTTCTTTCGCTCAAAAGATCAGTTTGTACAAAAATCACAGCTCATTATAAAAACATAGTCTACAGAAGTTGTGATAAAAATCGGATTTGTTTCCGGAAAGAAACTAGTCGCAAGCGACTCCGTTTGGTGGATATCCACCTTGAAGAAGACAAAAATAATTGAAAGAGGAATATATCTTGTCCCAAAATAAGATATCGATCACGATCTAGCTGAAGTGATGTAGGATACGGGAAAACTATGAAAGACTTGTGAATTCTATACCTTGACCTTCAAATTCGAATCAAATTTTTTTTTATTGTTTCTCTTAAATCATGACTGTTTGTCGAGATGCTACATTTTTTCTACTATAGAATGAAAAAAATACTGAAAAAAAAACTTATGTTCCTTAGTATTATCTTAAAAAAATGAGGGTTATGTATCACACACAGATTGAGGGAAAAATTCATATGAAACGGCAGTAGATTTTTTTTCAAAGTTTAATCAAAGAATATGTAGTACTATTCATTTGTTATATGTTACTAATTACTGAAAAAATAGTAATTACTTGTAATGTGAATTCACATGTTTGTCGCATGTTTGTAGAATTTTCCGAAAGTTTGAAAGAAGCCGAATTTTTGAAAATTATTTGCTTTGTTGTTTTTCGATATTTTTTTTGTCATTTCCTCTAGCATGCGAGGAAAACTGGTAGAAGAAATAAAAAACCTCAGCAAATCCAATTTAAATTTTGGAGAGAATGACTGTATCTTGTACGACTTTGATCTCTCTTGTAATTCAACAGGTATAATTAATAAAATCCCCACAGATGTAACTTGAAACGTGTACATAAACCGCCAACCTACTTGAAAGACTTTATTTGTAATAATGATTTTACTTATAGTGACTGATTGTATTAACTGTAACTGATCTAGTTGAAATAAGTGTTACTTTAAGAAAAAAATTAGAAAAATGAAAAAAAAAATTAATAAACGTGTTGTATGTTGTATCATTTATTTTGTGTTCTATGTTTTTTTGACAGTACATTGTCATCTTGATGAATAAAGTTGTGTCCTGATTAAATCATTAAACATCATGAAAACTAGTATGTCTTATTGACTCAGGATCCCTGGAGAATATAACATGCCTATTGTACAGAACCATAATTCGACATTTACAGAACCATAATTCGACATTTTATGATTTTGCTAGCGAGGATTCCACAAGGTCCCTAAATAGTCCTCCTCCAACAGCATTCAATTCTTGATATGGAAGGGTCCCCATCAGTTTCATCCAAGCCGTTATGTTGGGGTAAATTTTCTCATCGATAGGAACGAAACAAGACGCATTCGTCATCGTAGTCCATATGCTAAAATCGGCAATGGTCATAGCGTCTCCAGCAACATATTTTCCTCTTTCCAGGAAAGCTTCCAGAAAACCGTAAGCTTCGCTAAGAGCTTTCGCGTTCTTTTCTGGAATTTGCTTGACTCCTCCGAATATAATCATACCCTAAAAATAGGACTCAATAATTTTCAATGCAAGGCAAAAATTATTGCTGGAAAATCATGTATTTTGTGATTCTACTAATATTATAAATAGTCGCTCCTGATGGATAATCTGCTTGATGCCCTTGACAGAAGGTCAAGGTCCACGTCGGGAAGGGTAGCTTGTAATATCCTCCAAATCACGTTGGACGTCACAGTTGGCGCCTGAGGGAGCAGATGTCTGTCAACCCCAGCAAAACTGTGTTAATCCCCTTCACCAAGAGGAGAAAATTGGACGATCTAACGCCAATTTCCCTCAATGGTGGGGTCATTGCGTTTGGAATGGAGGTGGAATATCTTGGCATTGTCCTTGATAAAAGACTCATCTGGAACGCTGACTTGGAAAGAGTTTTACACAAAGCCAGACTGTCTCTATGGACATGTCGTAGGATTTGTGGTAAAAATTGGGTCTTAGGTCCCAAAAAGCCTCCAACTGTCAACTACGAACTGCCTTATAAAGTACTATTTCCGAGTAGAGAGGACTGGATCCTCCGAGAGATGGAAATATCAAGAGCAGATAGTTGTTGGTTCACAGATGGATCAAAAACACCTTCCGGTTCTGGTGCAGGTGTTTTTAGTCGCAGACCCAGGACAGATATCTACCTGCCTAGATATGCGACTGTATTTCAAGCGGAAATGTACGCTATTGAATTATGTGCGGAGAGATTGGATAAATCCAAACTCACACACAAGTCAATAAAAATATTCTCCGGCAGTCAAGCGGCGTTGAAAGCTCTTGGCTCCTACTGAGCCAAGAAGACTTAACAGATTGTCTCTGGTCTGGGTTCCTGGCCATACTGGCCTGGAAGGCAATGAAGCTGCTGACTCTCTTGTGAAGGAGGGTGCTGCAAGCAGCTTCATTGAACCAGCATCGCTTCAGGCTTTGCCAAACAAACATTGAACACCTGGATGGCAAGAAGATGGACTTCTGGCAGAATCTTCCAGGATTCCTAACCTGACCTAACCTAATATTATAAATGTGAAAATTTGTATGTTTCTATATCCGTCGAACAATCACGCAAAAACGGCTGAATAGGTTTTGATGAAAATCAGATCCAGAGAGAAAACAAATATATGTAAGGGATGAAAAAACTATTACTGGCACGTCATATTACTTTGCGCTTGGTTCAATGTAATGAAAACACCTGTAGTTCCGCATGTAAGGAAATAGATCTTAAGTATGGTAGAATATTCTTGATTCAAACATCGAAACAAGAATTTTTGTCTGGTAATTTTTGTGCTTCTCTACCCTTCCATTCTGAATCATAACACAGAATGTTGATGCTTCCATTATCAATTCAACTATACTTACGGCAATGGGAGTAGACTTGGAAAACAAATCTCCTGAATCGAAGAACAGTCTCTGGTTTATTATGGCTCTCTTACTAGGATCAGAAGGATACAGGGGATTTTCTTTGCCGTATTTCTCTGCGAGATAAATCATTATAGCGTGACTGTCCCAAACAACTACCCCATCGTCTACCAAAGTTGGGACAGTATGTTGCGGATTCAGCTGAAAATTAAAACACAGTATAAATAAAAAGGTAAAAATCATTAGATCATCATCAGGTATGAAGGAACATTTCAGACATCGAAGAAATTTACTATGCCATCTCTGACCAAAAAGAGCTACATTTGAAAAAGTAGGTAAAGGATGTCCATTAAAAAATATTTTCCTGCCATTCGGTTATTTCAAAATCACCAAATAGTTCAATCTTTCTCTTGAAGATGATCACTTGGTGATCGAAACACGTGTCGAGGTGTTGAAAATAACGATTTGGTGTTGGAAAAAACTCCAGTAATATTCATTACTTCACCAAAGGTTCCAAACAGTGCATTATAAGTAGATAATAACTTAACAAACCTTATCAGGTTGTTAGAATTGCCATATGGCAGATAAGAAGAAATATTTCTAGAAATATCGATTTTATTGTGTTTGTCTTCAGGAAATTATTAAATGTTCCGCCATTTTGTAGTAGGTGAAGATATTGACTTCATATTCTAGGGTTGTGAACTATTCGTCAGGAGCTTCAAAATGATGTGTCGTAAGACTCCCCTGTCCATTTATTTTTTTTTTCCAGATAACGCTCAGTCGCCATCTTGAAAATTTCATCTGTCAATTTCACTTCAACATAAAGTATTCATGCATCAAGTTCATTTTCAAAAATTTCTATTTTTTGAGTTGCCTCGTTCAAAAAATAAAAAGGGGTGGGACATTAAAGAATTTCACTATATAGAGCAACTACAGTAGAAACTTAAATTTCAGAACTGGTTTAAATATCATTCTTGTAAATTTCGGTGGTTTCTTTATAGAAATATACGAGTATATGTATGATACTTTTTTATTCATTTCCCTGTCTGTTGAACCCCCAAAAGTCGGAACTTGTGCGAGCTAAAGATTAACGAGGTCTTACCTTCCAACGTGCAATGTCTGGAACGGTTATATGGTGCAACATTCAGATTATTCACGTATTTTAAGTACTCAATTTTGCAATTCGTTCTTGAGAAACCATTTTTTGCAAGTTTAACAAACAACAGTTGCGAAGTTATTTCTGTTGTTGTACATTTTGGATTATCTCTTTCAGATTTTTTATGCTACCATGTAGTTAACGACAGAAACATCAAAATGTCAACTTATACTACTGGACTATTATTTAGCAAACGATGAAAAGTGCCTGAGAATATTGAGGATTATAGGGTAGTTCTTATCTGGTTAAGTTATGTACCACAACCCTCCATTTTTGGAAGTATGTATATAGGGATCACAGTATAATAGGCCAGTGAAAGGGTGCAGGAGCATAGGACTATATACTGCTTTATGTTCCACTTGCTAACTTATATATGGGTATCATAACAAAAAAAATCAAAAGCATAACAAGTGATACTTCAATAGATGATATATTAGAACGAGTTGTTCAGGAATAGCAACTTCACAGTCGTTATTATGAGAGAAAAATCTACCATACCTTCAGAAATTCGTTTTTGAGCTGGTCCCCGTTGACCACATCGACCTCAACAATCTCCAATTCGACCCCCAAAGCCTTTGCACAGAGTAAAACAGCCCTCACACAGGGACTGAGGATGGTAGAGTATAACTTTGGAGCCATAACTAACTAATTTTTTATTAACTATGATATATCAGCAAGAATCGATGTTCAGATGAAACGAGGAGGTTGATGAACTCTTATTTATGCTCTTCTTGGTTGGCATATATGGAAATAGGATGGATTTTGTAATATATATCGACAAACAAATCGGGAGTGATAACCTCAGGGTCTTTTATAAACACAAACAGATAATAATCATTAGGTTGCTTTGAAAGTTTTGTCTGTTTAAATGTAATATAATCTAAAGAAATAAACTTTAAATGTTCAAGACCGTCTCGGATATATCTACACAGTAGGTTGAATGGACTGACACATATCAGAAAACAACTACTTCACTGGCTAGTACCACGAATGGCGTTGGATTATATCCAACAGGCGTCAGTGCAGGAATCTTCACAGAAAATTTTCTGCATATGCAATTGGCAATACAACTGAAAGAGTCGACCCTCAATTTTGGACGAACACACTTGCCTGTAATCGCAAGCGTTATTCGTTCTTTTGAGTCAGTCAAATCTGAAGGTTTACTTTTGTTCACATTGCTCTTTACATATCCCTATAAAAAGAAACCTAATGATAAATGATCAGGTGATCGCGCTGGCCATTCAATCGATCCTCGCCTCTCAATCCCCCGATTAGAAAATGTTGTATCGAGGTATTGCCGGACAATAATTTGGTAATGTGGTGGTGCTCCATCCTGCTGAAACAATATCGTATTCACTTTCCATTCAAAAACTTGGGAGTTATACCTGTTATTCGACGGGGATTGAAGGTAGGGATAGCATTTTTCCGTTGAAGAATGTCAAATTATAATTTAAATGTTTAAATTATGTTGAATTACGAACCATAACCGAAATAATGAATTTATTACATTCGGCTTGTATACTGTATATTATATTCTCAGTCGATTTGAGAAGCTCGTTGGTCGATGAATTTTTTTAACAATTGCAGTTAACAGTAAATGAAGATAGCTATTATTATGATTTTTAGATGAATTCATGTCACAACTTAACAATGTATATTTCAGGATAGTTATGCAAAAGTGGCATATTTCGTTTCGAAGCCTTCATGCGAGTCTACAATTTCAAACTAGTGCGTCCCTGTCTACATTTTCATGCCGTATTCCTTTTTTGTTGGGGGAGACACTCAATCAAAAACCAGTGAATTTTTCAGTGTCCTAAATAATAGTTCAGTGTCGACTGTTTCAAGTGTTTCTTTGTCTTTTATATCGTAATTTTCAAAAAACCATGCTTCAAATATTCGTAATGTTCGTAAGTCCTTGTAGCAGAGCTGTTATGATTTGTGCAAGAACTTTGGGTCTGAACATCGATGTGATACACGTAGATATAGAGCCTGACAGAGAAAAGGAATTTTTGGCGGTGAGGGTGTTTATGAAATACTTTCATTGATCTCTATATAATTACTCTTTTGGAAAATGTTCCTGTGTTCAAAATTGAAGTGAAATACAACGCCATTCAATGGTATTCCTCAAGGATCGGTACTGAGACCGATCATGTTCATGATAAATAATAATAAGATGTCGTGTTTACATACATATGTCTTCAATCGACGAACAGGCAGCGGTCCTCGGTTGAAGACAAAATGGGAATAACCAAGAAAAGTACTTCATAGAAACAACTGCGTGAATAGGCCTTTTCATCACGAATTTTTTGTGCGTACTGTTTTTTGTAAACAACCATGTTAAAGAGCCTGCAACTCATGTTTTAAATTGAAAATATAAATTGAAGTTCATCAATTATAACAAAGAGTGAAAAAAAAAATAAAGGAGTGAGTTAAAATAATCAGAAAAAAATTTTTATACTCCATTATAATTATGTTATCTGTACGAAAGGGAACAACAAAACAAATAATTTATTTGTTTGTAGAGATAATATTCTTGGCCCAGCCATTATTGATTAAAACAGTACGGATGTTTTGAATTGCCGCCATTTCAATATGACGGCTACGCTTGCGCTCGTCTTATGATGAATATGATGAATACAACCATATAAAAGATTAAAATTCACTGATACTCATGTTAACAGTAATTTCAAATTCGATAAAATAGTAGTAATAAACTCAGTAACAATTTGATTCCATATTGTTATTTATTGAGACCCTTGAAGCACGTTTCGAATGACTCAACACAATCTAGACTAACTCATGGCCCCATTATAATTCCACTGCTTTTCGAAGTTTTCATTGATGCAAAGAAAAATCATGTTCAAGTTCAATCCAGAATTGAATCTGGAAGATGAAAAAAAACGTCAGCGCCTAGTTGTTTCGCTACAATGAAAGGTGTCATATACAGTGTCATCCCCAAACTATGCACCAAAGTATGCACCACCAACTTATTTATTAAGGATTTTTCGACAAAAAGTTGTTCTTGATAAAAGTTTGTGCATCCCCTAAAACTAAACATGCACTAACGAACTACAGTACAACACACGTAATATGCGAGGAATTTTCAAATATTTGATTTTGAGACAGGAGTAAAGTACTCTTATTTTGAAAAATCCCGGGAAATATTATTTGAAAAAATTGTTCAGCATTGAAAAATACATCTAGATTTGGAGTTATGGCCATCTAAGTGAAGTTTTATTTTTTTACTCATTTTTTGAATGGGTACTACAAAAAAAATTGCTTAAACGATACATAGACAGAATCCTGTATACGATGGATCATTTTAAAAGCCTGTAATATCACAAATTATACAACTATGGTGTTAACCACGGTCAATTGTTTTAAAAAGTAAATTAATTTCCAAACTTTTTGGTGCAAAGTTATTTTTACTTTTTGTTAATACCGAAAATTACCCAACATTATACAGTATTGTACAAGAACTCAATATTCAATAATATCAAATCACAAAACATCAAAATAAAATAGACATTTCGGAACAAACTCATTGATTTTCTGGAGATTCAACTTAAGACACTCATTTTGGACAAGAAAATCTCCAGGATTTGATTTAATAATATTGAATATTGATTTTTTGTTACAGTTCTGTATAATTTTGCGTAATTTTCGGTGATAACAAAAAATAAAAATAACTTTGCACTAAAAACTTTGAAAATTAATTTACTTTTCATGGTTAACACGACAGTTGTGTAATTTGTAATATTACAGGCTTTTAAAATGAACTCTCGTATACAGGGTGCTGTCTATTTATCGTTCAAGCAATTTTTTTTTCTTAGTCCCCATTTAACAAAAAAAGGGTGAAAAATAAAACTTTACTTAGATGGCCATGACTTCAAATATAGATGTATTTTTTTAATGCTCAATAACTTATCTAAACAACATTTCTCAAGATTTTTCAAAATAAGAGTACTTTACTCATGTCACAAAATCAAATATTTGAAGATTCCTCGTATATTACGTGTGTTGTACTATATTTTGTTAGTTCATGTTCAGTTTTAGGGGATGCACAAACTTTTATCAGGAATAACCCTTAATAAAGAAGTTTCCCTTATGGTGCATACTTTGGGGATGACACTGCACACTGCCTAGATTAAAAATTACCATCCACAACTCCAATACACTTTATAATTATTGAATAATGAATTTTTCAATTTTCAGGTGAGTCCAAACCGCATTATTCCAGTTATAAATGATGATGGTTTCATACTCATGAACGTTCACGCTATTTTACCTTATCTGGTAACTAAATACGCGAATGGCAACCCCTTGTATCCTAGCGACATTTTCCAAAAAGCCTTGATAGATCAAAGACTTCATTTCAATAGTGGTGTTTTATTGGCTTCTCATTCTAGATTATGTGTGAGTATTGAGTGTAGCAAATTTTTTTCGAAAAAAAACATATGATTCAACACATAATTGAGGTTTATGCATGCCCCATCGAATTTGATTGACATGTTCAAAAATGTCTAATAAAACTGTTATAATAATAATAATCCATTTATTTCGCTTGTTAAAAAGTACATAACAGTGGACAATTCTATATAAAAATATATATACAGTGTGTCCAAGATAAGGATCCTAAGCATGGGAATCTCAGTACCTGTTGGAGATACAGTTTAGGTTGAATTAGGAAAAAGTTGTGTTCTTTAAAGCTTATTTACATGCCGTTTAGAAACTTGAAGAATTTTCATGGCCTGCTGAGTTATTTGGGAAAAACGAGATGAGACTATCTCAC